ATCTATGAAAACCCAACAGCCAATATCATACTAAATGGTCAAAAACTGAAATCCTTCACACGAAAATCAGGAACAAGACAAGGATGTCCACTATCACCACTCCTGTTCAATACAATTTTGGAAACATTAGCCACAGCAATTAGGCAAGAGAAAGAAATAAAAGGAATAAACATAGGAAATGAAGAAGTCAAATTGGCATTATTTGCAGATGACATGATACTCTATACATAAGACCCCAAGAACTCCACCAAAAGTCTTCTAGACTTAATAACCAAAATCAGTAAAGTAGCTGGATACAAGGTCAACAAACAAATATCAATAGCTTTCCTCTACATGTACAATAGACTTGCTGAGAGAGAAATAGGGCAAACAATTTCTTTCACAATAGCATCCAAAAAACTGAAATACCTAGGAATCACCCTAACAAAAGAAATCAAAGACCTCTTCTTTGAAAACTACAGCACTCTGTGGGGTTGGGGGATTTATCTCAGTGGTTCTGGTGCCTGCCATACAAGCACAAGGTCCTGAGTTTGATCCTCGGCACCCCCCCAAAAACCTCAAACAAACAAAAAAAGAAAACTGCAGCACTCTGAAAAGAGAGATTGGAGAAAATATCAGAAAATGGGAAGACATCCTTTGCTCCTGGGTAGGAAGAGTCAACATAGTGAAAATGGCCATACTTCCAAAACTGCTCTATAGAGTCAATGCAATCCTATTGAAATTCTAGCACCATACTTCACAGATCTTGAGAAAAAAATCCAAAAATTCGTTTGTAATAAGCAAACACCTAGAATAGCAAAAGCAATTCTAGGCACTAGAGATATGGCCAGGGGTATCACAACCCTCAACTTGAAAATATACTACAAAGCTACTGTGATAAAAACAGCACGGTACTGGCAAAGAAACAGATCAGAGGACCAGTGGAACAGATTAGAAGATGCAGAAACAACACCAGACATATTCAGCCACCTCATCTTCGACAAAGGAGCCAGTGAGGAAAGATAGCCTCTTTAATAAGTGGTGCTGGAAAAATTAGGTTTCGATTTGCCAAAGATTAAAACTAAACCTATATCTCTCACCATGCACTAAACTAAAATCAAAATGGATTAAAGATCTAAATATTAAAACAGAAACACTGAACAGGCTGGAACAGAGGTTAGGTATAACTCTTGAAGACACTGGCGTAGGAAAAGATTTTATGAACAAAACATCAGTTGCCTGTGAACTAGCACAAACAATCAACAAGTGGGATCTTTTCTTACTAAAAAGCTTCTGCACAGCAAGAGAAACCACCAACAG